TTGCCATCTGATAATTGCCTCCTCTTTATATTTATCTGTGTACAAGTTATGCTCATCTCCAAGCACCTACCCTCATCTCCATAGAAGCTCCTTGAGGTCAGAAACTGTTTTGTTTTGTTGGGTTTTTTTTTTGTTTTTTTAATTTGTATTTCTAAAGCCTAGGATCTTTAGTAGCCACTCAATGTGATTATTGAATTGATCCAACTCAGCTACTCCGTTGAACTACAATCCCATCTCTCTTTCCTCTCTCAGAAAAAAGATCAAGGAAGACTATACAGACAGTTCTTGCTTTATGCAAGTGGACCATTCCATAGGCCTCTACCTAAAGCAGTTTCACATAATGAAAATGAGGCAAATTTAGGGTTAGGGTTAGAGTCAGAGGATTAGGGTTAAAATTGATTAGGAGTCAGAGGCAGAGTTGGAGTCAGGGTTAGAGTTAGAATTGGGGAGTCTGATGTGGATTTAGGGTTTAGAGTTTGCTCCTACTCACCCACTTAGCCTATATAACAAAGGCATACACAAAAAAATACCTTTATTCAAATGATGAAATACACTAAAATGCAGACATATTAAATACTGTTCCATGATAATAAACAGAATTATGAAATGAAAGGTAAAGTTAATGATAACGTATGCACAGTACTATACAGTAAAGCTAACATAAACGTGCAGTATGTTGCCCCCTCCTCACCCACTGCACACACCCTTTATTATTGGTAGTTGGCTGAAATTTCTTTCAGAATTCTTTAAGTAAAATTGAATTTGCATAATGCCAATTTATGTAAAGCAAGAACTGCCTGTAGTTACTTCCTTCCCTTCCTTACCGGTATTTAGCTTTTAACCCTCCCATTCAAATTGAAACTGTTTTCCAATGATTCCAAGTCACCAATGATCTTCCTAACCTCTCTCCAATTAGCCCCCAAACCTCATTGATTCTACTTCCAAAATACTTCTATTACAATAGCTTTCATACTTCTTGTCTTCATTTTCTCCCTTTTCCAAACAATCCTAGATCCTCCTATCAAATAAATCTTCCTAAGGCACAACTGATCACCTCACTTCCCACACAAAAACATTCAATGGCTATCTACTGCCTATAAAATATAGACCGAATTCCTTAATCTAGCATTTAAAGCCCTCCATTTTTGCGAGCCTCATCTTAATGCTCCTCTTTTCTCATCCTATAGCTCTAACCAAACCAGGCTCTTCAACATTTCCTCAACACGCCCTAGATTTTCTCTATTTGAAGTGTTTGCTCAACTTGTCTCATGTGCCTTAAATGCCTGTATCTTTGGGGTTTTAAGGAAGAGAGCCACAGCTATACTCACAAAGGAATTACCTAGTTAGATACTGATGTTAAAACAAACTATACAGTGAGAACATGTACTAGTCATTAACAAAGCCACCCAGGTTCCCTTTGCCCCAATCTGGAACACACTGCAGCATTCCATTCCAGAGCTGGTCAGCACTGCCACATTAGCAGACTGGCTTGAATGGCTTCTTAGGCCTTAAACTGTCTTGTCGAGACTGCTAGGTGGTATAACAGATAGAGCACTAGGCCTGAAATTAGGAAATCCTGAGTTCAAATTTGGTCACAGATATTTATTAGCTGTGTGACCCTGGGCAAGTCACTTAAACTCAATTTCCTCATCTGTAAAATGAGGTTAATAAGAGCACCTACCTATGGTTGTTGTGAGGATATAAAGAAATAATATCTGTAAAAGTGTTTCCCAAACCCTGAAGGGCTATGTAAATGCTAGCTATCATTATTGTTAATGTTGTTTTATATTCAGACCAGAGGGAGCCCTTTACAAATGTAGTAGACTTAAGCACTCTGTATCAACCAGTCTTGAGTAAGTTAGGTAAGAATAAGGGCTAGCTCTCAGTAACGGCCTGGTAATCTTTTTTCAGGGCAGCTAGGAAGCACGGGGCACAGTTCGTGACCTGGAAACAGAAAGACTCATCTTCCCGAATTCAAATCTGTCCTCAGACACTTACTAGCTAGGTGATCCTAGGCAAGTCACTTAACCCTGTTTGCCTCAGTTTCTTCATGTGTAAAATGAGCTGGAGAAGGAAATGGCAACCCATTCCAGTATCTTTGCCAAGAAAACCCCAAAATGGGGTCACAAAGAGTTGGACATGACTAAAGACCCACGAAATTCTTTTTTGAGGAGGCAGCTAGGTGGCTTAGCAGATAGAGTGCTGGGTCTAGAGTCAGGAAGACCTGAGTTCCAACATGGAACTTACTAACTGTGTGACCCAGGCAAATCACTTAATTTGTTTGCGTTAATCCACTGGAGAAGGAAATGGCAAACCATTCCTTCATCTTTGCCAAGAAAACCAAATGGACAGTATTAGCAGGCTATAGTTGGGCATGACTAATCAATTGAACAACAACAAAAATTCCTTTAGTACTTAGTGATTACATTTATCATTGATTCAATAGCCACTGTGACTGTTTCTATGTCTTTTCCTCATTCTGGGTGAAGTGTCCTCATCTGACTGGACTGCTTCTGCTTGACATACCTAAGTACTGGTTGAAGTCCTACACATTCTTCAATGCTTATATCACTCCACTTCCCCCATGAAGACTTCCCTGATTCCCACCTATGTTACAGCACTCCCTCTCCCTAAATAGAAAATGATTCTCTTCCTTCTTTGAGCTCCTAAGTCACTCTATCTATACAACTCTTGTTGCCACCCAAGACATGATTGGGTTGCCCTGGATTGCTGCACTTCCACAAAGATGACAGGACCACTAAGGCCACTGTGGCCAGAGACCTGCGTGGCAGAGGTGATCTTGATCTATCCCAAGTTCCTAGGCTAGGAGCTACTGTGACTCACCTAGGGCTGGTGAACTTCAGGGGAAGAATGTTTTCCTTACTACTTTTCCTATAATTTCCCCTTGTTTTATCCATGATCCCCTGGATACATTGAGAATATGTCACTTGGAAATTCTCCATTTCATCTGAAAAACTGGAAAAGCAAACAGGAAGGTCATGAGCAGGACCGAATGATTTAGAGAATAATAATAGCTTTATTATTAGCTAACATTTATATAGCAGGCACTTACTGGCTGGTGACCCAGGCAAGTCTCTTAACCAGTTGGTCTTAAACTACTGAAGAAGGAAGTGGCAAACCACTCCAGTATCTTTGCCAAGAAAACCACATGGACATTTTTGGCATGCTACATAGTCAGGCTATTTATATAGCATGATTCTATGACAGGCATTGTGCTAAGCTCTTTTACTGTTATTATCTTATTTGGTCCTCATAACAGCCCCAGGAAGTAGGTGCTATTATTATCCCTATTTTACAGTTGAGGAAACTGAGGCAAACAGGGATTATATGTGATAACTTGTGTGATCCTTGTCCAGGATCACACAGCTAGTAAGTGTCTGAGGCCAGATTTGAACTCATCTTCATGACTCCAGGTCCAGCACTCTGTCTACTGCACCACCTAGCTGCCTCTGGATTTAGAATTGGAAGCATCTCAGAGAGCATCTAGTCCCCCTGTACTTGAACAAGAATCTGCTCAATTACATATCCAACAAACAGTCATCTAGACTCTGCTTGAAGGTCTCTAGTGAAATAGCCCATCGCACTGTGGGAGAACTCTAAGAAGTATATTCAGTAGGGGGAACATGTTTTGCTTTATTGTGCTCATGTAATATAGGGGTCCTTTCTTTTTATTAGGTGAGGGGAGGTGGGATGGATGGGAAATAAACGTGTGTTGTTGTTTAGTTGTTTTCAGTTGTGTCCAAGTCTTCATGACCCCATTTAGGGTTTTCTTGGCAAAGATACTAGAGTGGTTTGCCATTTCCTTCTCTGACTTATTTTATAGATGCCAAAACTGAGGCATACAGGATTAAGTGACTTGCCTAGGGTCATACAGGTAATAAGTGCCTGAGGCTGGATTGGAAGCCAGGTCTTCCTGTCTTCAGGCATGGTACTCTATCAGCTGTGCCACCTAGCTCCACATCATCTGTCCTCCTCATCTCTGCCATTGCTTAAGACTCCAGCACAATCCTTAGCCATTATAACCTTCTTCATTACCAGCTCTTAGATGAGCATTTCTTCATTATTGTAAGTCAGGTTCATATGACAATTCCATCCTGAACATCAAACATTCTGACACTATTGCCATACCTGTCCCAACTGAACATCAAAATTTCAAGACTTTTTACAAAATTGTCTGTTGCATCTACTGGCCCCCAATCAAATCATCAGTATCTTCAAATGGCAGGCTGTTGTGATGGTGGAGGACGACCTGAAGGTAGCTCCAAACTTCTTTTAATACTTTTAGGATGACAATCTTTTCATGGATAACATCTACTCCTGAGGGCTAACCCATCACTCTTGTGCCTTTCAGCCTGTATTGACAAGGGTCAGGAGCACAAGGTAGAAGCCACTTGACCTGATTTCCTCTATCCAAAATACAGTTTTCCTTGTATCTGGAGTTAGCTGAACTATGGGATGAACTGGAAAGCAAATGTTCCAAGGCCTATGGGGATGACTAGATCTGATGGCTATGGGAGCAAGCATGATGAATTAAGGAGCATGGTAGAATGAATAGGGTCTTGGATTTGGAGTCAGAAAGACTGGTGTTTAAATCCCACTTAAACACTTATTAGTTGTATGACCATGGTCAAATTATATAATTTTCTGTCTCTGTTTTCCTCATCCGCAAAATGAGGGGGTTGGACTTAATGGCCTCTAAGTTCTCTTTCAACTCTAATTTTATGATTCTGTGATAACCAATCACCTTTAGTCACAAGGGGGTAAGCCAAAGACAGTTCTTTGACCATCAAGCTGAACCAGGGTTTTGTACCTTTCCACAATTAAACCTATCCTACCTGAAACAGGAGACTCATGATTGAAACTTCTCTCCCCAGGAATATATTGTCTCTCAAAGTAAATGTAGAAAAGAAAAAAGGCAAGCAGTAGCAGGAGTTAGGGAAGTGCAGGCACATTTACTGGGGACAGGAGAGTTTCAGAACCTTTGTTGTAGATATTACGGATAACATCAAGTTAGGTCTTCCCCAGAGTGGCTTGTCAGTTTTCTGTTCCAAGGCCTGTGGGTATACTTGGCACCTCCATAGGAAAGCACTGGCAATGACTCAAGAGAGAGTTTGCAGTGGAGGCCATTCTGAGGAATGATGGAATCTGGTCCAGAGGCTGTATTGTTCTTTTTATACATTTCCTTATCAGTTCCATTTTTTTCTTTTCTTCTTTGATGTAGCATTCCACATGTTTTCTAGACCTCGTAAGAGAAGTTGAGACATCTTTCCTGTCAATGATGGAAAAATTTTTCTTGAAGAAATACTTGGGCACCTGGGTTTGGCATGACAGAGAGGAGAAATCCAGTTTGGCTTCCTCCAGGAAAATCTTCAGAAAATTACAATCTTTAGAGAGTTCTCTCTTACTGGGCATTCCTTCTCCTTATGGGTTTTTCCTCTCTAGATGTGTGTCTTTTAACCAAGGTTCACTTTTCCATTTCATTTCCCATCTTTGGTACTTAGTTTCTTCATTTCTAAATTGAAAACACTGGATTAGATGACATTTAAGGTCCAATCTGGCTCTAAATTCATGATACTACTGTAAGGATGGAGTCAAAACCACCTCATCCCATTGTGATGGTTCATACTTTAACAAGATGATAACATGTTTTAATCATTTATAGACCTTAGACCAGGGATGTAGATAGATTTCACAGGATTCATGAACTTGGGGAAAAACATTATACTAACTTCCAACTGAATATAGCATTTTCTTTAATTATTTAAAAACATTTTAAGAAGGGGTCCATAGGCTTCATCAGACTGTCAAAGGGGTCTTTGATACAAAAAAGCTTATGAAGCCCTGCCTTAGACTAAACTTTTGAACTGATTCATATCAATGACCAAGAATTGTGATTGGATAGGTAAAAGAAACTTGGTCATATTTCAAGGATTGCCTATAAATGATCAGTTTAGGACAGGGGTGGGGAACCTGCACCCTTAAAGCCACATGTGGCCCTCTAGGTCCTCAAGTACAGCCCTTTGACAGAATCCAAACTTCACAGAACAAATCTCCTTAATAAAAATGATTTGTTCTGTAAAACCTGGACTCAGTCAAAAGGCAGAATCCAAGGACCTAGAAGGCCACATGTGGCCTCGAGGCCGCAGGCTCCCCAACCCTGGTTTAGGAGGAACTTGGGGGTGAGGGATGATGGGGGTGGAAGAGACGAAAGTCCTTGGTTTCTGATTAGAGAAGGACCTTGTGAGCTCTGAGGGGCCTAGAGGATGTTGAATCTGCCATCTTCCCATTGGTGCCTAGCATCATCCCTTCTTCTCTTCCCCCAATGCAGAGGTAGTTCCATTTTCTCTTTGGTGCCCTATTCATATTCCTAGATCATCTGGTGGCAATGTCTGTTTCAGGAGCCAAGGACAGACTGGATGCATGGTTCTGGGTGCATCTAGCAAAGAGACTTATACCATACCTAAAAGGAACTTCTTGAATATCCCCCAAATTGGGGGTGAGGTGGGATAGGAAGGATTTCCAGCATTCAAGAGCTGTGACACATATTCCATCTCAGCTTGATTCCACTTTCCCCTGGACTCTATATAGTTGCGGGCAAGAGTGTCACAGATATCAGGGTATATTTTGTACCAGCTGCTCTTATTCTATCTTCTTAGTAAATACTCATTTCTAAAATCTACTTAAGGTTGGCTGAATAAATTGATTCTCAACTGATAATCCAAGTTAGGGGTAGAACTCTAACCTTTTTGTGTCTTTTTTTGGGGGGGGGGACTTGGGTTATATTATGATACTTATTAGCTGTGTGACTGGGTAAATCATTTCAATTCTGTTTCACTAGTCTCATTTATAAAATGGGGATATTACTTGCACATCCTTCCTCCTAGGTCTTATTGCAAGGAAAGTGCTTTATAAACCTTAAAGTCCTTGAGAAATATGAGTTGTTACTGGTTTTTGTTTGTTTGCTTGCTTTTTGGTGAGGCCATTGGGGTTAAGTGACTTGCCCAGAGTCACACAGCTAGTAAGAGTGTCAAGTGTCTAAGGTCAGATTTGAACTCAGGTCCTCCTGGCTCCAAGGCTGGAGCTCTATCCACTGTAGCCGCCCCTGTTACTGTTTATATGATTACTGCCAACCAATTCAATTCAATCCAATAAATATTTATTAAGCAAATACTATATGCCAAACAAGGCAACTAGGTAGTACAGTGGATAGAGCTCTGGGCCTTCAGGCAGAAAGACTCACCTTCCCAAGTTCAAATCTGCCCGCTGACACTTACTAGCTATGTGACCCTGAGCAAGTCACTTAACCCTATTTGGCTCAGTTTCCTCATCTGTAAAATGAGCTGGAGAAGGAAATGACAAACCACTCCAGTATCTCTGTCAAGAAAACCTCAAATGGGGTCATGAAGAGTCCATAGAACTGAAAAGACTGAACAGCAACCGCTTGTGTGAGGCACTTAGCTAATCGCTGGGTATGCAAAAAGAGGCAAAAGACAGCCCCTGCCCTCAAGGAGATTACAGTCTAAAGGGGGGGAAAACATGCAACCAAATATATACAAAGCAATCTCTCTCTTTCTGTATATGTGTGTGTGTGTATGTGTATGTATATATATATGTGTGTATATATGGGTGTGTATGTATGTATGTATGTATATATACACACACAGCAGAAAGTAATGGCCCTCAAGGCCACTGTGTTTGGGCTACTTTGAGCTCATTCTTCCTGGATCGAGCCTGAGGGTAGCTATCCCTTTAAAGCTAACTCGCACAAACCGTTTAGAGTAGGGCTTTGTTTCCCCAAGAGTCATAGAGGGCTGGAGTTTTGAGTCGTACTTGCTGGGGAGGAGACACACAGGCAAACAAGCCTGCAGGACCCTTCCCGTGCCTCCTGAGCCTGAAATCTCAGTAAGTCCTTCTCTCCCCGAGGCTCACCCCAATCCCTACCTCCGAGTCTAGGCTAGCTGGTTTTGTCACCCTCCAGCCAGATTTCTCCTCGGTTTTCTGCAGTCTCTGCCCCATACCTGCTGACAGCTATCTGATCTCCCTTCCCGGCTACCAGGTTCTTGCTTCCCACTCTGGGCAGGAGGAGGAGCAGCTGGGCTTCTTCCGGGTCCTGCCAACGCCCTTCCCTCTTTCTAGCCAGGATTCTTTCCTGCTGGGCTGTTTCTGTGGCTGTCTTTCCAAGGAGGGCCTGTGCACAGGTAACCAGCCCCACTCCTTCCTGCGCCCCCACTGTGGATCCCCAGCTCTCCCTTACTGTGGTCTCTACTGGGAGGGAGCCAGCCTGCCCTGACCGATGGGAGGCTGGAACAGGAGCCTGGTGCTGGGATGGGCTGGACGACCCGGGAGCCAAGGGGCTGCGGCTGGGACAATGGGGTGCCCTTAGATCCTCAAAAGAGGGGACCTCCAGTCATCTCTGCTCTTTATGCTCCCAGGAACAGAAAGGACTGACCGGAAGTCCTCCCCACTGTCCTTGACAGAGTTTGTATTTTGATACCCTCCCCTCTCCTTTAGGAAAATTCCCTTATCTATCATAATTTAGCTCTCTAGGCTCTCGGTGTGCCCTCCAAAACTTGTTTGTGAGAAAGGGCCCAATATACTCATTCCCAAAAAAAGTATTAGAGTATTTTAAGAAGTCCAAATAGTTTAATGTGTTATTCACCTGGGGGTGTTTGCATTTCAACAAGGGATAATTTCTAAGGAAATGAATCTTTAATTGAGGAACTTGAGGGGAGGGAGAAGAGAGAACAAGCACTTAAGCACCTACTACATGCCAGGCACTTTACAAATATTATATCGTTTGATCCTCATAACAACCCTAGGATGTGGGTGCTGTTTTCATCCCCATTTTACAGTTGAGGAAACTGAAGAAAACAGAGAATAAGTGACTTGCCAAAGGTTACACAGCCAGTAAATGTCTAGGGCAGGATTTGAACTGGGGTCTTTCTGACTTCAGATCCAGAGCTCTATCCACTGTGCCACTTAACTGACCTTCTAATAACACCAGATGCACCATCTTTGCAACCTTTGCACCAGGCCACTGTAGACCTGGAGGACTTAACTTCTGCTTCTCTAAGCACTGGAAAACAGGGAGTGGCCTGAAGGGTCTGATTATAAAATTATCTCAAGGCCTGAGAGAGCAGCTCTGCTTGGGTGTGTAGGGTAGTAAAAGGGAATGTGCTTGGAGCACTGAACAGCAATTACTCGTCACAGCACGCTACAGGCCTGGAATGTAAATTTGGTTCTTTACTAAGCCTGGTATCTAAGCTACCAAGATCATACTGTGCATATAGTTTTTCTGTTCCAAATGATATAGATATTGAGGTGCCACTTCCTCCTTGAAGCCTTCCCTGAATGAAAATGATTTCTCTCCTCAAAAAATTTTAGTGCACTTATTAGAGAAGCTTAATGACTTGCCCATGCCAGGTCTGTGCTAAGATTTAAACACAGACCTTTCTGACCGCAAGTCCAGCATAATACCCACCATGCCTCAAAGGCTCTTATTTTTAAAGCATTAATATTTTAAATGTATAGATTGAGGTGGGGAACCTGCAGTCTCGAGGCTACATGTGGCCCTCTAGGTCCTCAAGAGCTGCTCTTTGCCTGAACCCAAACTTCACAGAACAAATCTCCTTAATAAAAGGATTTGTTAGTAAAACTTGAACTCAGTTAAAAGGCTGCGGACCTAGAACACCACACGTGGCCTGGAGGCCAAAAGTTTCCCACTCCGGATAGATTAACGGAAAAGGGACCCAAGTCAGGTAAATGCATTTCTTATGTTCTCTATTAGATGATAAAATCCTTGAGGACAGGAGCTCAATTGTTTATTTGTTTTCATGTCCCCAGAATGAACATGGGATCATATTGTAAGGATTTAATAAAAGCTTTCTGAATTTTAATTAGAATATTAACACACAAACAAACCTTTGGCACATGACCCTTTTCCTTGTAGCTTATTTTTGTTTTTATTTTTCACTTTAGTACCGCTAGGCTTTTTCTACCCTGACCCCTTTCATTCCAGCCTTGCTTTCCCTTCCCATACTCCCCCACCCACCCACCCACCACTTCTCCCTAGTAGTAACTTGGACCATTCTGGTTTGGAAAAATCTATCATTGGATCATTCTAGTTTGGAAAAATCTGTCATTGAGTTCTACTTCTTTGTGCCCTGAAAAGACAGGATAGCTAGGATGAAAAGTTGAATGGTTCGCCCATACCCATCCATTGGGGAGATCTATACACTGAGTCTTTCTCTCCACTCAGGCACCTACCTGCCAGACCAAAACCATGAAGAGCAAAGGTCTGGAACCATCTGGACAACCGGCCATTCTCTCTCTGGAGAACCATGTCCTGACCCAACCATCCAGCCTGCAGAGTACTGCTTCCACTAGCCACTTGCTTCAGCCCTTCCAGCCATCCCACCTGTCTGAGGCTTCCTTGAAGGGCATGGATACCAGAAACCACCTCCTCTCAGAGCCTGCAGCCTGGAAGGCCCAGAACTTCACTCAGGGCCACTTCACCAAATGGCCTAAGAGGACTCTGGAAGCAACTATGTCTCTGGTAACAGCTCCAGGCACTAGTCTTGACCCTAAGAATCCCTACTAGACATTCCTCACCTCCATATTCCATACCTCAGTGTCTCCTGTGTGTGCTGCAGTGATAGCTGAGGCTGTGTATATAGGTGTGTGGGTGTGAGTGTCTCTTGTCCTCATCTTTACCTCAGAGCCTCAGTGCTGCTCCTATTTCAAAAAATCTTTTATCCTTTGTAAAATCTCCCTTATCATCCCTACTCGGACTGGACCTCTGCCGTTGTCTCAGGGGATTATTGAGTAGACCAGCCCCTACTTTAAGAGCTTATTATCAAAGGGAGATAGAGAGGTGTATCATGTTAGAAATTCTCAACGTGTAAGTTTAACAGGGACATGCCTGATGGTAGGAATACACTTTACATGAAGCTCTTAGTTCCTGATTGAAGTTTTCAGGATATCTATTTTCCTGTGCCTGTGGCAAAAGGTTATTGCCTCAGATGGGTGACAAACTTGAGTGGAGGTGTCCAGGAGCGCTGGGATCCAGGTTTATTCCTGAATCCCTAAGGAACAAGGAAAGATGACTTTCTAGAGCAGGGCTTCTTAAACATTTTCCACTTGTGACTCCTTCAGCACTTCTTAAACATGGGGGTCTCAATCCACAGTTTAGAGCACGGAGCTGAGGCTGAATAGTCTGATACTGTTCTGTTAGCAGAGTTAGCAGAATCATTTAGCAGACGATAGGGAAATCACTTTGATCAAGCACTTTGCAGGGATTAGGATCTCATCTCTAAGCAATACTGTGGGAAGCAATATGCTTTGAGATTCACATTCCCCAAACGGGGTACGTACAGCCCTTCTTTTCTGGTGAGAAACCAGAATGAGTTGAGTGTAGTCTTCAGTGCAAGAAACATCCTTGTTTAAAGACAGGGCATCAGGCTGTTTTGACTTGGCTCTCTGTAATCATCACTTTTTGCTTCACATCTTAAAAAAGTGTAATGAAGGTAGACTGAGATATACACACTTCAAGCAAAACCAGTGACACATAAAACTTTTAAGAAAACAGGTCAGATCGGCAACCTCAGTAAAGCCAGTGACCCTGATAAGGGAGAGAAAACCTTCTTTATTGATACACAACAAAGAAGAGGTTTTGGAAAGGCTTGGAACATCGTGACTGGCTACACTAAGAAAGGTGGGCTGGAGGCTAATCATGCTTCTCTCTGACAATTAAAGAATGTTAATTGTTTTTATGGGATCCATCTGCAGCTTGTACGGATCATTGCTAGGGGATCAAAACTACCAGGCTTATCTCCTTGGAAGAGATTAAAAACTCCCCCCATTGCACAAGGATGGGCAAAAACCAGATGACATATTTTGGGGGGATGGTACCAAGTTAACTTGTGGGGTTTAAAGATAACAAATCAATGTCCTGGAACTATCCCATAGGCTACTAGTATGAGAGACAACTTTTCTTTTAATTATAACTTTAAACTAATTCGGAGGAAAAGCTCAATTCCTGAGAGATAGACAAGACAAGGACATAGAAGGTAAGGACATAGGACAAGAACATAGAAAGGTAACTTTAGGCAGATGCAGACTCAGTTATAAAAATCAATACAGTATAAAATCAATTACATTGTAGAATCAATACAGTAGAAATCAATATAATAAAAATTTGAGGTAATATTAATTTTGACCTCATCCATGGGGTCTTAGAAATGTCCTTAGATTCCTCAGATCAAGTATTAAAAATAACTATAAAATAGGACTCCTCTATTTAAATCCCTCCACAAACCTTTCCTCTTTTCTCTGTTGCCCTTCTGAGGCAATAACCCTATGCTAGCGGCACTCAGATGAATGGAAGTTCTCTGAACTTCAATCAGACCTCCCCTTGAGACCCAGAGACTAATGATAAATGTAGTCCTTCCTTCAGATGTAATTAATAATAATAATAATAGTTAACATTTATATAGTGTTTGCTATGTGCCAGGCTCTGTGCTAAGTGCTTTATAATTATTATCTCATTTGATCCTCACAACAACTCTGGGAGGTAGGTGCTGTTATGATGCCCATTTTACAAATGAGGAAACTGAGGCAAACACAGGTTAAATGCCTTGCTCAGGGTCACACATCCAGGTCTGAGGCCAGATTTTAACTCTGGTCTCCATGACTGTAAGCCCAGGATTCTATCTACTTACCACTTAGCTACTCTATTACACATGTTCCTACATAGATATGCTCCTACATGTAGTATATATACAGGAAGCTAAGTATGTACAGATATATATCCCTATCATTGTGTATCTTAATGCACATGCCACAGTTTAAATTTGGACCTGACATCCGAATCTGCACCTCAAGGCTTGGCTTGACTAGTCATTAGAATAGAACTAATTGATGATAGGCCTGAGTTGCCAGCTTGACCCTTTAACAAGGGTGGGCTCTAAACTAACAAGATTGTAATGTCCATGTGGTTTTCCTATATGGATTGATGTAATAGCTAAGGTGC